AGACAGACAGACAGACAGACAGACAGACAGACAGACAGACAGACAGACAGACAGAAAAGAAGACAGACAGATGGACAGACAGACTGACAAACAGACAGACAGACTGTCACACAGCAACACATATACACACAGACCCACAAACAAATTACAAACTAAAGAGCAATCTGACTTTCCCCATTTCTTAAAAAAATCAACAAGTCTAGTCTTGAAACCCGAGCCAAGTAGGCTGATATCTAGAATTAAAATCAATTTTTGGCCATTTTTTCCCTTCTTTTTAAAAAAATCAAAGATACGACATGCTGCATGTTTCCTCTCCAAACGACCACCAACGGATATCGACCCCACGTTATCTAGTCTACGCCACGGGGATGCATACACCAATAATTATTCCCTTATGACGTGCGACTTTTTAACGTTTGCTTTTTATATCTATTATTAATAAATAAGTAAAAATTAGGATCCCCGCGAAATATTAGGAAACGATATTATTACTTTTCGTGATATTTTTGATTTTTCAGTCTTCTTCTGCGAGTAGCGATGTTATCATTAGTATATCATATATGGGGGTGCTTTTTGTTTTCTCTGATTTTACCTTGCTTTGTGTGTGTGTGGGGGGGGGGGGGTCTGAAAAATAAATGCTTTTTAACATAAGTTTTTTTAAAAACTTTCTACATTTAAAGACTACTGCCGTTCAGAGGCAGGTTGACATAACTGCACATTTCATGATTTTGAGAAAAATAAGACAAAAAAACAAAACGTTTAAAGCTTTGCCTGTCTAAAATTTGTAACGCTCCTGATCACGGTTGTGCAGAAACGTAGATGCGTCATTCTGCCGTCAAGCAATTGTACAGAGATCAGCCACTTGTGTGCCATTACCACTTTGGTTTTAGGAAGTGTTTTACGGCACTTGCAACACAATAAGATCATATTATAAGAGCCGAAGATTAGAGGTGTGACAAGAGCGTAACAAACACAAAAATGAAGTAGGAGAGATAAGAGCGATAGATGTTTGATAGGAAAGAAAGAGCAAACCTCGCCAGAGCACCCACCAACCACCCGTCATTACCACTTTGGATACAAGAAAGATAATATGGTCGCTTTCAAGGACAAGCGGGCTAACCCAGATTTCGGGGGTTTCCAGATATCTTGACCTACACAAAAAGTGGGCATTGCCCTACCTGTAGGAGAAGTTTGGTTTCATTGGTGTGTATATTTGTTTGGTTATAGACAAAAACTCTCTGTCTTTTAAAGAAACTGAGCAAGGGTCCAAAAACTTTATTTTTGATTTTCTCAAAAGGTGATTTTTCAGGATAGCCCCCTTGTGCTGACAAGCGACCATAATATGGGCAGGGCATGTGCAAAAAACCCATCAAACCCAGAAAGGTCGTTTTTTTTCAGATACGTCGTTCTGTCTCGGCACGGTATGTTACAAGATAACCATGGGTGGTTGGCGGGTGTTTATTTTGTGGGGTTTTTTTCCTGTCAAGCACCTTTCGTCCTTATCTCTCTCTCTTTCTCTTTCTCTCTCTCTCTCTCTCTCTCTCTCTCTCTCTCTCTCTCTCTCTCTCTCTCACTCACCATCTCTCTCTCTCTCTCTCATTCTCTCTCTCTCTCTCTATCTGTCACTCACTTTCTTCCTTTCTTTCTCTCTCTCTCTCTCTCTCTCTCTCTCTCTCTCTCTCTCACCCACTCTCTCTCCTTCTCTTTTCTGCTTGTTACTCTCTAATCTACCTGCTCTTTTATGTCCTTATTGTGTTACAAGTGCCGTAAAACCCTTTCTAAAACAAACAAAACAAACAAGGAGATTAGAAAACGGGCGGTTGATGTTTGCCACAGGGATGTCTTACTTCTATACTTTCCCTTTTTTCTCTCTTTCTTTCTGTCTATCTGTCTCTCTGTCGTGTTCTTCCTGTGTTTTTGTCTCGTTTTTTTTTTCTTCCCCTTAGCATTTAATGACAGTCACTGTCTCGATGTAACCTACTTTTATTTACTGAAAAAGATTTTTTTTAAAGAACAAGAACAAGAACAAGAAAAAAAATTCAAAAGAATAGACGTTGGAAACAGACTGAATTTGAATGAATGGCTTATGGACTGCAAGGATTGGCAACATTTGCGATTGTACTTAGTGATTGGGTTTGAGTAAAGAGAGGTAGACTGCCGCAGAGACAGTCACTTAACTGTGCAGGGGGAAAAGCTGGATAGACAGACAGAAACCACAGAGGGACAAGAAAGAAGTAGAACAGGTTAAGGGCACCCTCCAACCACCCACATGTTTTGTTGTTGTTGTTGGTGGTGGCGGTGTTGGGTTGTTGTTTAGTTTTTTTCGTGTTGTTGTTGTTTTTTGTTGTTGTTGTTGTTGTTGTTGTTGTTGTTGTTGTTGTTGTTGTTGTTGCTGTTTTTTATGTTGTTGTTGTGGCTTTTTCGATGGAAAATAAGACAATGTATAAACAACAGTGACATGACCCTAAAGTCTCCCCCCCCTCTCTCTCTCTCTCTCTCTCTCTCTCTCTCTCTCTCTCTCTCTCTCTCTCTGTCTCTGTGTCTCTCTCTCTTTCTGTGTGTGTGTGTGTGTCTGGCTTCTCTCTCTCTCTCTCTCTCTCTCTCTCTCTCTCTCTC